CTTATTCATTTATCTGGAAGGGCCGCGCTGAGTCTATAACTCCGTGTGGGACTCTTTTTTTTTCAGGAGGGTCCTGCATTGGGTTTCCATTTCAATATGTTTTCAACCAATCAATGATGAGCTGTGTGTATATCGAGGCCGCTTTGGCTGGTGGGTTCACAACTGCCGGGATTACAGGCCACATTTGCATAAGTCTTGCCTCCCCCGCCACCGCCCTCTAATTGAATGCATTTCATCACATCGACATGGATAATGCAAATCGGGACGTTTCGGCGTAGCGTGATGTACGGATGTCCATGGATGGAAAAAGATGGCGATTAATCTACTTGCTGTACTGCCTTCTCCTGGCCAGCCAGGGTATGGCGGCACCTCGGCACCCAGGGAGTAAGGGAGTTTCACAATGCTTGTGCAGCGATCCCACCAACCTTCACAGTGGCGGATTGCAGGCACGCACCACCAACGGCCAATACCTTCCGTTATGTTTTTAGCTACGGGAATATGCTGGAGAAACCCCGGACACACGGGGGGAGGACATACAACCTCCACAGAGAACGGTGCCCGTGTTGGGAATCAAACCTGGGGACTTCTTGCTGCGAGGAAAACGTTTAACCACTGCGCAACCACCCCTAGCGCCCACGTAACAAGTGACGATTTACAGCGCAAAGGAATGTTTTATTTCACATATCCTAAACTGTTTATCTCGGCCTTGACGGTGCGATTGCAGAGATGGCCCAATCTGTGCCCACAAGCACTCATAATAAAAATATTTAACGTGCCATGGGGAGGCCGAAAGTTATTTCCGTAACTCGGCACATGACATCCGGTAAACCTCCCACGATGGCTGTGCCTGCTTAGCCGTGTTTTTAACCCTGGTCTATCACCGACCTGGAAAAACGATCGCCAAAAAATGGATCCGCGGCTCCATTGCACGCATGGGGCGCGCCGGAATACAGCTGTGTGCTTTTCGCCACGTGCCAGGGCGTGCTACAGTTACCGCGCGCACAATCGCGCTTGTCGCAATTGTCCCGCATGGGGACCGAGGCTAAACGACGTAGGTGCAGCTGTGAAGATACGGCAATGCCTCACCACGCCAGACTGCAAACACTGCGACATCCTGTTGCCTTCCCTCTGAGGTTAGCGTTACCTCTTCCATGTGATGAGGCCACTTTGGCAGGTGGGTTACAACTGCCGGGGTTTACAGGCATCATTTGCATGAGGCTTGCCCCCCCCCACCACCCCCTCTAATAGTATGCAAAAGGTAGCCAAGTAAGCATTGATGATTTAATCCATTTCATCACAGAGCATCGAGATGGATTATGCAAATCTGGACAGATAGGCGTAGCATGATGTGCGGATGTCCATGTAGCCTGGTTCGCTTGGGTAACATTAGCAAGGCTGTCATGCACAGGAATGAATCTAACCCACAAGGCAGTGCCATCAGCCGCAATTAAAGAATACAATAAAACCAACACGATAAAATGTCGTACGACCCACTGAACGCAAGGGGCGATGTTTGCAAGATATGGCCATTATACTGCCGATGTTGTGACCATAACAACAATGTTACGACGGAAGTTTTTCAAGGACGCCCTGCCATGCGTTATCGGGTCACACCGTGCGCTGTTCGGCACGGTGCCCGACGTTTCGCTCCACGCGTTGAACAGGCTTCCAAGCAAGTGGAGCAGATACGTGGGAACGCATTGCCGACCAGCACGGAAGGGGGGGGGGTACAACCCGACAACCCATCGAAGAGCCACCCTCGAGACAAGCACCCACACTTTAGAAACGTTTTTATAGAAAAAAAACGCAAGCTTCACATCTGCTTGGGTGGGCACATGGCCCAGTTGGAACTCGTCTCTGTGCTAATAATTACACTGGGCATGTTTTGCCAAAGACAATGGTTTAGAGACGCTATTACACCATCTTGGCCAGGCCCTTCTATGGCTTCACGGCCACCACAGGCGCGCACGGACGCGCACCCTCTACTCAACCATGCGTTCCACATCGCACGCCCGTGGACATACGTGCCGTGGACAACTGCTGCCTTTCAACAGTTTGGACGATCGAGGTCTGTCCGATTCAGCTCAGCGGAGACGTCGAATCGGATTACAATTCATACTTTCTTTCCATTTTTGCTTTTATCGACGCAACTATATTTGCAATCGTGCAATCAACGACACGTCACGTCCCATGCACCGCGTCTGCTTCGGAAAACGACCCTGGAAGATGGCGCGACAGAAATACTTCTGAATTCCCTCAAATAGACTTACGCAACTTTGTCACCGTAGATTGTATTGTTAATGTTGTGCCCGTGCTATTTGTGTTCAACACAGACGATACAATTATCCGCACGCCGTACGATCTATCGTAGAATCTCCATATTGTGGCACAACAAGCAGGTAATGATCCAGCAGTCAGAACCAAGCTGATGTCTGTGAGTACAGAGTCCAGGAGGGGTGAGGAGACAGCAGTGCCCATCGAAAAGCAAACAGAGCCTGCAGCATGGTCATTAAGGCCGTGCATGACCCCAACATGCTGTGTATACGTATATAACCTCACCCAAATATGTAAACTGGTGAGAGCACAACAGCATTCCCCAATAAGGAGATATTAAAAAGGAAGAAATGAGACATCGGATTTTTGAAATTCAGATAACGGAGCTTCTGCTCGTAGGGTGCGGTAGGGCCTGGCACTCCGCCGCTGAAGGATAACAGCCACAGGCACACATGACTGAGTCTGAACATACCAACACAAGACAAAGATGCCCGTATAGCCTGAGCAGACTGTTAGGGCACGTGTTGTTAGTGAGCACCTACGAAGGCCAACACGGCACGCAAAGGGGATGGGTGGCGAGAGCACCACGCACCAGCCACCTTTCTCTCCCCAGTGGCGATGTTAACACAGCGCACCAAATACTTATTTAAGGCTGAGTTGACCTAGGGCAGGATTGGGACTGGTTCGGATTTCACTCGACAATCCATGGAGGGGAATTAAACTCAGCTCATCGGGTTCATAGCTCTGCTGCGCTTGTGTGTACAGGTAGTCCCCGAGTTACGCTGGTCCGACTTACAATATATCGATCTTAGGATGGCGATAGCGATACGACAAAATTGTAAAACTATTTAAAATTTCGCGCGGCAGGCAAACGCAGCAGCGTACGAGGTACGGTGCTGTACGTTGGAACGCTGCCGGGATGTACGCATATTAAAATATTGATAGCAGATAGGACTGTTTCCTGAAAAAACTTAAAGTGCAATTCATATAGGTAGGCTAAGAATTTACCTTGCTTTTTTTACCTTACATTTTACTGTGCAATACAGTATTGTAATTCATAAATAAATACAGTATATCGTTTATACAGTACGGTAATGTAAATTGCTCTGTTTTGCTCAATAATCACCATTCTTTAATACTCCTGGGTAGGCTAGGCCATCTTCGACTTTGATATTTTTGACTTACGATGGGGTCGTCGTAACGCATCTCCATCGTAAGTCGGGGACTACCTGTATATATATATATATACACACAGCGAATTGGTAGTGGCTTCTTAAAGAGCAACGCGAAATTTGTGATCCAGCAGAGTTTTAAAAGGCAACTTTAGAGCTTCCTGGAGGAACACAAGCCGACTGACTGAGAAAGCAAACATCGTAAACACGTCAACTGAGAAGGCAGACAAAGACAACAGGAGAGATTGTGCACAATTAGTTGAGGGGGCGAGAAGGAGGGCATACATTTCACTTTAACACGCCGCCTGCTTCTCACGTCAGCGCCAATTTGAGGTTAATTGAAAATCGAGAGACGCACAGCCACCCTAGTTTTTATTCACAAGTGGCGAATTCAAAACATTCCTGCGGTCTCGCTGCCGCGTCCTCCACATTGCGCGGAAGCTGCGACACCGAACTGGGGCGTGCACCCTGCCCGGTCGGTAGGTATCCCCGCGCAGAAATCAAGAATGCAATCGAATCGATTGCACTCTTGGACTCGTATTTTTGATGCATAAATAGAAAGTTCATAAATACCACGAGCTGAGACGTGCCAAGCGCTGGAAATATAACCTGATACAAACAAGCAGAAAACTCCCAGTAAGCATTTGGGGATATAAATCGGTGAAACCCACATTTTGCATAACACCCTGCTCCTCAATTGTGTCTACATTACAGTGAAACAAAAAATACAAAAATAAAACTGCCGAAAGGCCCCGATAAAGCTCGATATAAAATGGCTGTACACAATGTACAGCCATTTTGTCACTCCGCTGATCACAAGGCAAGGGTCGTGGGGGTCACTCGACCACCATGTAGCCCCTCAGAAGCATGACAACCTGTTTATTGGACAGCGATCGCCCCGGTCTGGCACAATATCCAGGCTCACCCTGCTTAGCTTTCTCAGAAACTGATGAGATCATGCGCATTCCAGGTGATGTGGTCAAAGGTTTCTGCCCTTGCAATGTTACAATGAAGCAACATTCCTCCGGACGATTGGAACATGAGCTCACGGGGGGGGGGGGGGGGGGGAAGGGGGGGAACAAACACTCAATGACTGCACACACAACAAAAGATTAGAGGCCACTTTGGCACACTGGCTCGCAAACAGGTGAGGCTCAAACTCAGGAGGGTGAGGCAATCTCTTTGGTGATGTGCAGAGAGGGCAACAGAGAGGGGCAAGAGGCGCTGTTCCTCCCGTGCTGAGTAATAGCAAACCGCTGTCGCTGCCCATTTAATTCAGCAGGACAGGCAGACCGATAAGTCAAGCATCATTTTGTTTTCAGGAAGCAGTGGGCGGAGGTTTTCTGGGGGGGGAAAGGCGGAGGGCAGGCAAGGGGTGGCGGTAGTTGTTGTGGAAAGGGGGGGTGGCGAGGGGGGGGTGGCGAGGGGGCGGAGGGGTCGATAGATGGATGGAGGGAGGGGAGAGGAGGCGGAGGTGGTGGCGGTGGGCGGTGTGGGTGGAGGCATCCTTGCAGATAAAGCGCGTTGCGGCTCTGGTGCGGAGCAGTCGTGCGCTACTGAGCAGCACATTCAACGCTCGCTGGCTACGCGCGTGTGCTGCACCAGCCAGAGCGCGCGGACGCAGCCAGCCACAGCAGCGCGCGGACGCAGCAGCGAACCGGCGCACGCACGTGCACAGCGATCACGCGCGCCGTCTCACCAGCGAGCAGCCATGAGCGGCCGGCTTAACCTCATCTGTGCGTTTGTCTTGGTCGCCCTGCTCGAGTCAGCCTACGGAGGTGAGCGTCCGTCCCGAGCAAAGCGCCGTTTGCTTCGCTGCAAAACTTTCTGTCGCGCTGCGCGTTTGTATGCAATGAAATGCTCGCTTTCCTTTTTTGTGTCAATGCACGATGAACTTGGCTAAAGAGAAAATGTTTGATGTTGGATGCATGAATAATGTAAACGCGTTTGCGTAAAAAAAGGTGATGAACCTACCAACAGGTTTTTTTTCCCGTCGATTGTTTTTGGAACGATTCCAAACGTTTCAAAGATTAAGAAGATTCGTGCTCACACCCAATAGGCATCTAACAGTGTATAAAAAGCACTACAGATTGAGTAGATTTAAACTAATTCCGTGCATCTGTAACTTATTGCACTCAGCTTGGTTCCTTTGTGATGCGTACATTTGCTATCGCGACCTGCTTGCGGGGGGGGGGACCGAAATGGTTACATTTGTTTGGCGGGCACTCAAATCTAAACGTTGCAGAAAAAATAATTACGTAAAAAAAATATGAACCGCAGAAAAAGCAAAGCGACGCGAGACAGTGATCAAACAAATGCGGCTCAGGAACTGTGATGTCTGTATGACAAACCGCAAGCCCAACGGCGCATGAACGACTCGCTAAACTATGCGCGCAGCAGATGGCTTTAATTAAGTCCTTGCTCTAAAAAATGCTCTTGCGAGATTTAACGAACAATCAAATATTTTATGTGCCAGGTTGGAAAAAAAACGGCGAATGAGTGGTCCCACAAGCACAGACGCGCACACACAGACACACACAGATACACACAGACACAAATAGACACACACAGACACACAGAGAAACACACAGACGCACACAGACACACGCGTGCACACGCTTACAGCTGCCTCCCCCTTCGCCCTGCACAATTAACACCTGGGTTGATTGATGTCCCCTGTAATCGCGAGCCGAGCCTATGCAGCATTAATGGATGCGCGTCCCAACTTGGCGGGGGATCGTTCACTTGTGCCGCTAACGAGGTGTGACCGTTGCGAATCGTTCTGGCAAAACAAAAAAAAACCCTCGATGCGAATCAAAAAAAATGATCGACGCAATTCACGAGCGCCGGATAAAAGGCGACGTGACGAAAAACCTAAACGTGCCGTCACTCCAACGGCGCGGCTCCTTTTGTCGCGTCGGCCGCCTGCGTGGCTCGACGGTGCGGCGGTCTCCGTCTCCACCCCCCCCCTCTCCCGTGCCGGCCACGAATCTCTAAACATCGAAAGGGCAAATTTGCCTTTGCGACTGAGTTTGTTCAGAAAAAAATAAACAACCCCGCATCCAATCCACCTTGGGTGCCAGAGTCCACGGCGGGGCCGTGTTCCAGCAACTCCGCCAAGCTTCTCCGCGCCGCGGTGCTTTGTTAGGCACGTGCACTCTCCTACTGCCTTGTTGTTCCTCAATTCTTGTTTGTGGTGGTCGTGTAAAAAAAAAATTTGAAACAAAACCTCGAGACCCTCAGCAAGGGGGAAGCAATGGAAGAGCGCACGTGGTGTGTGCCGTCCTCTACTCCATCTAACTTCATGAAAGACGTTAAATGGAGTATTTTAATTATAATATTGTAATGTCAATCATGCCGTGTCGATCACTGGGGTTCTTTGAGCATACTTTGCGACGCAAGTCACAGCGCTATTTGGCAAAGGAAGGGACCCCATCACCACCGATGTCAACCAAGGTCAGGGATCAAACCCAGGTCACCGACTTCACGACCCGCCGCCACTGAACAGTGATACGCGTGACCCCGTGGGAACATTGAGCGAACACTACGTAACGTGGTTTTCGCCGATTGACCGCACGAGTGCGAATCTGCTCCCGCGATGGGTCGGCTAAACAAACACCTCCTGACACTGCCTCGCTTTTAACAGGAGTCATGCGGAAAAGGAGAGACACCTTCCAGCACGGTCTCCAGATGTCGTCGTCATCGCACTCGTCGCCGTCGCGATCGTCGTCGTCGTCGTCATCGTCGTCAGCAGCGACGTCAATCTTCTCATCGATAATGGAGGGCAGAAGGCCGCAGGCGGCGGCCGCGGCGAGAGACGCAAGCGCGTCGCACCACGCACGGCGCCACCAGCACAGGCCGCGGTGCCGCGATCACCCGCACCAGGGATTCTACCCGCAGCACCAGCACCGGCACCAGCAGCAGCACCAGAAGCACAGGTGCAACCACAGGACGCCGCAGCAAACCTTGCACTCTTGGAATCGCCCGTCTCTCAACGGCCGGGGACCCATTTAAGCGGCGGCGCCGGCTGCTCCACACCCACACGGTAACGAGCGCGCGCGCGCACGCACGCACACACACGTACGCACGCACACGTACGCACACAGATGAGAACTGTTGCTGTCCACCTGATGTGTTCATACAGCAGTGGCGTGGCTATCGCGTGTGCGAGCGGTGCAATTGCACCGCGGCCAACTCAGGGCCTGATGTGGTGGGAGGGGGGGGTCCCATCTCATTAGTTGCAGCAGTATACCCCGACGTGTACATATGGCAAATGTGCTCGTACCTTGGCCACCCGCATGTCTGTATAATCGTGTCTGTACATTGGAACTGTACACCTAGGCCGGAACACCTGTGCACATTCAAGCTGTGTCTCTGTGCATCCGAGATGGGGAATTACATACATACCTTTACAGCTATTCATCCCATCCAATCTGCACATCTCTCGACACAATCGCCCGATCCGCATGGCTTTACACGATCGCTAAAATGCACACGCTTCACGCACAGCGCGACGTGTTTACACAGCTGCACGGACTCACTTCGTCTTCCCACCTGCATCAGTGTAGCGCAGTCGGTACACCTGTGCTGAGCGAGATGACCCCGACACCTGCCGCCACTGTGCATACTGACGGCTAGGGCCAGGAAATTGGAAGTGGCAGTGGGGTCATGGCCATGAAATTAACCTCTACGTGAGCTCATCCTGTGGCAGTTCTCCCAGCGTACGCGTGTGTATGCATGTGCACGACTGTGCAGCATTTACACGTACATACACACACAGCAGAAAACACGTCTTTTTAGCAAAGTGTATTCATACTTCAAAAGCCATCAATTTGGTCACCCACCAATTAAATGAAAAAAAACGGTTTAGTTTTCGTTTGCTTGGTTCTCTTTTCCTTTCAATGAAAGCAACGCCCCTATCAATAGGTGGTTAATGCTCAGAAAAGTCACATTCCACAGCCTGCTTTTCTGTCCAAATGCGGTTTTGATTTTACAATGCGGTCAGAGGAAGATCAGGCAACCACAGGAGCACAGTACCACTCAGTCAGCTGACAGGTCTACGTGGAAACACTTTCATATGAAGAGCAGACAGATGTAGAGGCATGCGCTGGCACTCGCAATGTGCATCCAGTCAACGCGCACACACACTGCACACTCTTGGGTGGTGGTATTGCCTCCACTGGCCACTCAATAACTTAACTATATTTATAGACTTTCAATCGTTCATTCATTTTTTTTTGCAGGATCAGTGAACTACACACTGTATTTACCTTTGCCTCATCTTCCGTGGCATTAAGTAAATAAAACAAATCAATCACATAAAATCTTGTAAATGGAAACTATATGCAACAAACCATCTGCAGGTGACACCAATGAAAGTCACGAAATCCCACTGTGCAGACCAGGGGCCCCCTAATGAAACTAGTTGACCTTGTCAGCGTCAGGGAAGTCTGCCCACCGCCCAGCACAGAAGGCCCGCAGACCTTAAGCGGTATTAAGCCGGCTTCTGCAGCCTGCATTGCGGACTTTTGGGCGACCTCGTGAACGATCAGTCGCCTAAATCAGTGGTCGCTGATAACACGGTCTGCCAGGGCCTTGACAAAAACCACTTCTGGTCTCACTGGACTCCCACCTGGGTACCACGTCATAAAGAGCTATCTTTCTGGGCAATTCCACTACTGCACAGCTGGGGATCGCCCTCGAAATCGATCGTGTCGATCGTGAAGTTCGGTGAAAACAGGGAGATAAGCGATAGTTGCCGAGCTGAGAAGCGAGAGAGGCTCACCTTGATATCTCCCCCTTTGGACAAACCTTAATTCCCTAGGTTAAACTCCGACAATTGATCTTGGGATATTTTTTTTCATTAACGCCGACGTTGCTAGGAGAAGAGAGCCGACTGGCGGGTAGCCACACTCTCCGGGCGGGTCTCGTTCGCGCTCGGTGCAAATCATTTGCATGAAAGGAGCCACTTTGGCGCTTGACGGCACTGAGGATCGGGGCGTGCACGTGGGTGGGCAACCTCGCCACGCTCTCACACACACGCACACACAGTCACACGCGCTCTCGCACGCGCAGGCTCCGCACACGCAGAGGGCATGCAATTCACCAGTGCTTCAGCAACATCCTTCGGCATAACCTGGCGAGCGGCAACCCGGTCGCTTGTGTTTCCAGAGCTCCCGACAATTCTCTCGATCCCTCCCCCTCTGCGCTACCAAAGCCCCACGGAACCCTTCCCGTGCTCACGGGCATCAGTCACAAACGCCAGTCGGATGACCTGGACTCAGCAACGATAAGAAACAGACGCTAGAGCCACATTCTCACCACGGGGATGTGCGACACCAGAGGCAATAAAATAACAAGCGAGCTACTTCTGCAGCGTGTAGCCTACCGACGTGGTCGCTGCCCGCCTCTCACCCCCTTATCAACGTTGGCAGCACCACCAATCGTGTGAGCGTGGCCACGGCCAGGGGATTAGTCACTCGCTTCTGAAGCACTTTGGTGCGGCATCACACGTGGGGCAAAGCAATTGTGAGCAACGTACAAAAGGAACGGTGTAAGTGTGGATTAACGCGGAGGGAATGTGGAGCTGCATTGCACTGGCAGTGGGGGGGAGGCCACTGAGGTTTGTTTTACGAGCGACGGGACCTTGCCAGCGCTGTGCGGTGGCAAAGTGGGGAGAAGGGAGGGCAGGGGAGGGGAGCAAGTCGACACAGCAAACCACTGCAGGCCTCTAGGTCATGGTCAGATTAGAGGGGGGGAAAAAAACCCTTTTCAAAACACGCCGGTTTACTTTTTGGGAATTGTGTTTCAGTTGCTGCTGTGCGCCACTTGCCGCGGCTGAACTTTGGTTTACAAAATAAACATGTTGAAAAAACTAAACGGCAACAATCTAACTCTGGCGCGCGTGCCCTTCGATGTGCTTCACAGGCAGCGGGGATTTCGTGACGAGCGGACGGGAGGCAGCAGACACGCGGAGCGCAAGGTCCTGGCGACGCGCGTGCGATGAAGCGTGACAAAAACAACAACAACAAAAGAAGAAAAATCAAACCACCAACAACCGTCAACGGGGGCAATAAAAACCAAACACTTATAGAAAAAAAAATAAACTAAAAAAACGGCAGGCACCAGAGAGAATTTTTGTGTGGCTGCACATCAACTCGCAGACGCCACGATGCTTGCCGACTGTGGATCGCTCCTCTCTCTACGGCGAGCCAGCGAGCGAAGTAGTGAGCGAGGAACTGAGCGAGCGAGTGAGCTGGCGGGTGTGCTGAAGGATTCTGCGCGCTGCGGTTTGGAGGAGAGCACCGTCAAGTGCCGTGGGGGCTCTCTCCCAGCCCGCGAGTGTTCTGGGCAGAACGTCAATGCGTCCCTGCGGACGCCAAATGAACCACCCCCCCCAACCACACCGCGTTTGCCGACCCCCTCCTTCGCCCCGCTACTCAAGCTCCTCCAACTCTCCCAGCTTCTTCCGCCAGCGGGACCGCTCGAGTTAAAACCCCGCGCGCATTTCTCAAGCATGTGTCGAACATTTTTCGAACATTTTTCAAAACTGTAAACCACCATCTCCTGTACCGCCCCAGCCGCCTGCCTCACAAAGCCTCCACCACCCCACCACCCCACCCTCCTTCCCCCCCCTCCCCCCACGGTCTCTTAATTGAGAACAAATTAAACTGGAACACAGCGTCCTGCTGCCGGGCTTCTGTGGGGAGCGTAGGTGAATAGCTGTCACAAAGGGACCCTGGTGTGAGATGCTGGGGCGTGAACGTCGTCGAACGAATGCGGTGTGTGTGTGGAGAGGCACCGCGGTCGGTGTGGCTTTGGGGGTTGGAGGGTCACGGCAGCGCTCTAGTTTTGCAAGTGTCCAGTGGGACTGGCACCGTCTCTCGCCACCGTTGCTTTAGTGTTTATAGACGAATGTTGTAACCTCTCCTCTCACGTGTTCTTTTTTTTTGCTGCTGCTGGTCAAGTATGAAGTGCTGCCTGTCTATGGGCTGCTACGTAAAAAATATATATATAAATTAATATTATTATTTTTATTATCTTTTTTTGGTTTTTTTCTTTCACTTTTTTTATAGATTTAAGATGGCATTTTTACCAGGTATGAAGCAACAGTATTTAACTTTGTCATTTGTTTCGTTCAGTTTCTCTCATTTGTTCCTGCATTAAAATGTTGTTATACGGACATTTTTTTAACGAAAAATGTTTGTTAAAATGTTTCTCATTTGAATGCTCACTGTAAATAAAACTTTGGATAATAGACCCAACTGATGACTTCAATCTCTCCTCCTCGCTCTTTACAGCCACCGTGACCTTGTATCTCATAACAACTTTTGGTATAACCTACGACCCCACAATGAAACATTAAAACAATAAACCAAACACACAAGAGACTGCTTAGTGGTCTAAGGCAGTCATGAACGCTGCGTGGACATTCCAGAAGACGCTCCGTTGCTTTTACAACCCGCGTAAGGTGTCTTCACGGCCGTGCCGTAGAGCTCCCTTGCGTGCTTTTGGGCCGTCACCGCGACATGTCGGGGTGGTACAACACGTGGCGGTGACAAACTCAGCTCTGTTTAGGAAGTGCCACGGCCAAATTAAGAAACTGCGAGCTCCTTTGGGAAAACAGGACCTGAAGAAAGTCCCGGCACACGGAGCGAAAGGTCGAACGGTCGTACTGAACAACGCACGGCACAACCCCCCCCCCGAAAACGCACGTGCGCGTGTGTAATGTTGAACTTCTCTCGCACAGTACGTAGCCAACCGTACTAATCGGAGGCGCACTGCAGATCTATCGGTTACTTTTACTGCCCAGAAAGCTTTCATTGGGCACTTTGGCAATGGACAGAGGTGCCTAGCGAAGGCCAACGGCAAATCCTCGCTGCTGTGACAGGACAGGGAGAAACCGGTGGTTTACGGCCACGAGCGATCAGTTCTTCCCCACGCCTCTATGCAGGAGCTCTGTGGGAGCGGGGGGGGGGGCGACGGCAAATTTGAACGTCGTCGAACGAATGCGGTGTGTGGAGAGGCACCGCGTTCGGTACCGTACGCGCAAAAAGAGAATACAAATTGTAAACATTTGCCGCCGCAGTTATGCCAAGGGGTGTTCAAGTGGCAGCCCTAAGTGTGAGCAGGTGGCAGTCACGGAGCAGGTGGCAAGCTCCGTGGCGGGGCAGCCCTGGGGGTGAGGCGAAGGCGGCAGCAGCGGCACGAGCCGAGGGCGTAATTTCAAACAGGGGAAGGCATCATTACGTCGCTTTGTAAGTGGTGCGGCTTCAAAAAGAGAGGGGGGGCGGGTGGCATTTGAATCTAAATTCTAAAAAGCTGAACTTTCCCCCCTTGAAACGACGCCAAGAGAATTAACAAACTTAAACACTACCATGTGGACATTGGGGCCAAAGTTAACACAAACGTCTATCCACATGCCACGCTAATTGGATTAAGATGTAATGGTTTGTTGATGAAATATGCACACGGTTACGCCGTCGCCTAACGACAACAAAAACGTTGCACCTCGAAGCCGCCGGCGCTTCGTTACTTCTGCTTCACCGGGCAATGTTCACACATTGTCCCCTTCAGTCGAAAAGCCACAACTTATACTGCACCCACCGCGCAAACGTGTCAGGTCGGACGTTTTATACAACTGGCGTCGTGGCGGCACGCTGATCGATTGCACTGAAGCGCCCTAGGCGGTTGCAATTTGATCGACGGTTTGCAAGGCGGCTCGCGTGAGCTGTGTGCGTGTGTGTATTTGTGCGGGTTTTTAAGGGCAGCGGTAGAGCAGAGGTTCGCGTTACGTTTTATGAGCCCGGCAATGCGAGTTCGGTTCCGACTCACGGCCAGTACCGGTGGCGAATATCTTAACGGGTCCTGGGCATCCCCTAGGTCGACTCAGCCTCAAACGAGTACCTGGTGCGGTGTGTAAACATCGCCACTGGGGAGACAAAAGTGGTCGGGCATGGTGCTGGCCACCCACCCCCTGAGTGTGCCGTGCCGACCTTCACAGGTGCTCGCTAACAGCACTGGCCTCAAAAGGTCTGTAAAGACTTTACGGTGGGACCTTTGTCTTGTGTTGGCTCTCAGCAGCACCGTTAATCACGCACAAACTAACCGCCCCATGAACACCCCCCCCCCCTCCCCTGCCGCCCGCAATCTTGCATCTGCTTTACTTCGAATTCAACACCAAACTGTCCTCGTTAGCAATTCTTGAAAAAGGACACAGAAAAATCCGTGTGCTGACAGAGCACGTGTTAGCGAGTTGGGTTAAGAGTCAAATTAATCTGTTAAAATTCGTGCGGCGTTAATTTTTCGATCGTATAACACGAACGTTGGCGGCGAGCGCTGGAACACAGTTGGCATCGCGAAACATTCCAGCAAGCCAACTGCGAAGACATCTGGTTGACAGCGTGGTACGTCTGGCGTGTTTTATAAGTTTATATTAAAGCAATGGCATCCGTGTGCAACCCAGTTGCTACTTTGAAATCTCATCTCCCGGTAAAAAAAAAAGTTTACTACTTTGTGATAACACATTGACAGAGGTGAGTGCAATGTTAAATAATGTAATGAGTTAGCCGCTGGTGTGATTTTTTTATACTTTTAATACCTCGCTCGCAAAACATTTTTTACCGACCCTATTGACACCGACATAAAAAATCCACTTCAGAAACGCCGCTCTTATTAACGACAGGCGGTCGGGGGTTAGGAGACAACAGGTGAAACCTGGTATGGTATTGGCCTGCGATTGCATCTGTGCTGAGAGACAATCGTTTGACGCTGTCGAAATGTAAACATAGCCCCGTGTGTCTGCTGTACGGTGGACGTTACACGACCCCCCCCCCCCCCCCCGTGACATCGACGTTCACGCGAGTGGAACAGGGTGACTTGGTAACGGATACCACGTCTAAAGTTGTACATTACACTAAAACATTTGGTTCACTGAAATCATCTACGTTACCAGAGTTATACAAATAACAACATATGGCCATTTGTCAATTTACTGCTGGTTAAAAGCCTCCCCGCACATCACATCAGTCATGGGGTCTGTTTGGCCATCCCTCACCATAACTGGTGAACAGCGGAGAGATGCAGGAACAGTTCAGAGACATTATCCAGGGCTCGGAATTGAACTCAGGTCACCAACAGTGTCGTGCGGAAATCACTGTGCTGCAAGTTTACGCCGCACCCCCCCCCCCCACAACTACAGTGATGGAGGTGAGAGGAAAAACTCACAACTACCGTCATTAGCACGGCCGTATAATAAGTGAGTGATATTTCAGAGGCTGACATTACGCACCGTATCGCTTTTTTAGAGCCGGAAAAGGGCATAAAGACTTGCATAGCTGTAAATCACACTTTATAGTGCGATACTACTCTCAGTGAAAACACCGAGAAACGTGATATTCGCACACAAGTTAGCTCTCAAATGAAACATGAACACTCCTGCGTAGGTTTTCGCGGTAGAGCTGCACGGCTCTCCGACGATGGGTTTTCGGGTTTCACCGCGCAATGTTTGGCGACACCATGTCCGACGTTTCACTCCACATGCTGGGATCTTGTTGAGGACCTGAATATTTGAGTTTCAATGACTATTCATGCCAAACAACAAGACGCAGTACAACCCAAAAACATAGCGGTGTATGAATGGTTACGAAAAGCTAAATTACATCAATGGACTTCTCACCCGGTGACGTAGAGGGAATTGAATGAAACAAAAGGAATGAACTAATGAATACATTTTTTGTTTAAAGATCTGACTTACAGCTCTCTCCCGGCCTCACGCTGCACCTGCCACGCATGGCTGAGTGAACGAGTATCCGATAACCGGGTCACATGCCCAGTCTGGGCGCCCCAACGCATCCCTGGGCATTCCTGTACAGAGTCGATGAGCTGAGCAAACAAAGCCCAGCCGTGGTTATTGTTGTAGACGTTGGATATTTTTTTTTTCATGCACGAGAATAAATAAGCTGTGCAGAGCTTAATGGAGCGGCTCCAAGGGTCCCGCACCGACTTGATATACGATCGACGGGCGGAATGACAAGGATCAACGACGGCGGTGATCGTCAAGACGATTATAATGATGATGTTGACGATGATAAAGCTGACAATACACGATCAGGATGATCACTGCGATGACAATGATGGTGCTCATGATACTCATGATGATGATATTTAAAAAATATATTTATGCAGAACAGCATGAGCAGTACGAAATTTATAACTTCCAATTATGATGTTTGGCTATTTCAATGTGACATTTTTTTTACAATTTTGTGGTACTGACGATCATAACACACAAATATGGAAAAATGCAAAATTCTATTAAACTTTTTTGATTTAGAGCCCAGTGGCAACTTTCGCAATCCTCTTCCACTTTGGGAAATGCAACGTAATTTTTGCGCAACACTTGACCGAATTAACCACTCCCCGTGCTGGCATGAACCCCTGAGAGAGTTCAGAGCACAGAGGACTTCGACTGGCAAGACTTGAACCCATCGGCGTTCGGAGTTAGAAGTGAAAACAACCTCGTTGCACAAAGTCAAGGTCAGAAAATTGTAGTGCTTCGTGTATGTTGCACTTCTTTCGCTTATAACTCCGAACACCGTACGTAGCCAACCGTGCTAATCGGAAGTGCGGGAGGGGGGGGGGGACAACAGATGCGTTCTGAGAATGAGCCTCGTCAGCATCTCGTACTTGGCGATGCAAAGAAGAGAAAGGATTGACACCAAACGAAGCAGAAATACTGGAGGAAAAAAGAGATCCATCATCGCGGAAATGAGTTTGTTAATAAGCAGTTGGAAGGGACAGATGATGATGATGCCTCACTCATCTCCTTCCATGTCCCCCCTCGTGCTCTGCAATCCAAAACTTCTCTCGGTCTCTCACTGTCCCTCCCTCCTCCTACTTGTACCCAATCCCGTGTTCAGTCCTTCTCCCTCCTTGCACCCCTCCACTCGAATCAATTTCCCCTGTACATTAAGCAGCACTGCCCATAGACTCAGCACTGACCATAGACTCAGCACTGACCATAGACTCAGCACTGCCCACAGACTCAGCACTGCCCACAGACTCAGCACTGACCATAGACTCAGCACTGCACCATAGACTCACCACTGCCCATAGACTCAGCACTGCCCATAGGCTCACCACTGACCATAGACTCAATACTGCCCATAGACTCAGCACTGCCCATAGACTCAGCACTGCCCATAGGCTCACCACTGACCATAGACTCAATACTGCCCATAGACTCAGCACTGCCCATAGACTCAGCACTGCCCATA